CTCATACTCGTGGTGTAAATGAATAAATCTGGAATGAAAATAAGACTACCACTGCCTAGTAGGTTTGATCCATTCTGGGCTTTATTAGCTGAAGGTTGTTGTACAAGTTGCACTTTGGAAGCAGAAAAGTAACATGGATGAAATATCCAGCACCTATATACAGTGCCTTGCAAAAGTATTCTCTCCCCCCCCCCCCTGCAAAGCTTCCACATTTTGTTGGCATCTAAGCTTTCAATCATGAACCTTTCAAATGGGACTTTATATTTAGAATATACACAATCTACTCCAAACTGAGAAAGATATATAAAAATGCTGATATCACACAAGTAATTTAGATTTTAAAAAAAAAAGTAGAATATTCTCAACTGCATTAAGCATTCAACCCCTTTGCTATGGCAACCCTAAAGCAGTTCAGGTGCCAAAAATTGAAAGGTCACAAAATTAGTGTAATGGTCTCTGTCTATGTGTAATCAAAATGGTTAACTTGACTTCAGAGTAAATCTGTTCAAGCCACAACACACATAGTGATACGACAAACCAACCATAAAGGCCAAGGAGCTTTCCAAACAAGTCAGGGATAAAGCGGTAGATTTGGAGAAGGTTACAAGAAAATTTCAAAGTCACTGATTATCCCTTTGATTACAGTGAAGTCCATCATTAAAAAGTGGAATGTGCTTCATATCACCCAGTCACCACTCAGATCAGGGCAACCTTCCAAACTAAGCAGCTGGGCAGCAGGAAACTGGTTAGGGATGCCACTGTGAAGCCAACAGTGACTGTGAAAGATTTGCAAAGTTCCATGTCTGAGATGGGAGTCAGTGTTCATACATTGACAATATCCCAGTTCCAACACAAAGCTGGCCTGTATGGGCAAATGGCAAGAAAGAAAGCATTACTGAAAAAGAATCATCTTAAATTTTGTATGGAGTTTGTGACAAAGCATGTAAATGATACTGCAGACATGTGGCAGAAGGTTTTGTGATCAGACACAAATTGAACTTTTTGGTCTAAATTCAAAGTGTTACATCTGGTGCACACACACAGCACATTACACAGTCAAAACCATCCCAACTGTCAAGCATGGTGGTGGCAGCATCATGCTATGGGGATGCTTCTCATCAGCAAGGACTGGAAAACTTGTCAAGATTGAGGGGAAGATGGATGGTGCAAAGTATGGGTGAATCCTGGAGGAAAACCTGCTTGAGTTAGTGAAGAATTCAAAACTGGAGTGGCCCAGTTAAAGACTGACTTGAATCCAATGGAAAATTTATGGCAAAATTTGAAAATTGCAGTCCAACAATGAAAATTGGAGCAATTTTGCAGGAAGAATGGGCAAGAATTACACCATCCTTTGTGCAAAGCTGGTAGAGATCTATCCAAAAGTGACTCACAACAGTAATTGCTGCCAAAATTTCTTCCACCAAGTACTGACTTAAGGGGCTGAATACTTATGCAATCAGCAAATTATTGTTTATATATTCTCTTTGCAGGTTTTGCTGACATTCAACCTCCTTCATACACAACAGTGTTAAGTTTGATCATTAGAGTTTTGAATAAAAACAAGTTAAATAAAAAAAAATAGTTTACATTATTTGTATTTTATCAAAATGTGACATTATTGGTAGAGAGGTGAACACTGTACAAGAGTGCAGCATGTAAAACCTGAAATGGTTCACACTGCTATACGATAGTAATCTTATCCAAGAATAATAATAATAAAAACAACAATAATGGACATCCTTTTTTTTAATTATCGCCCTTTGTACTGATAGCAGCCACTGGCCATGTTGCAGTAGAGTCAAAGTAATTGTAAACAAAGCGAGGATAAGCAATGCATAAAAACTTGAATTAAATCACCTAAGATTATTTGAACAACCATTAACTGCACAAGAACTGCCTCCGCTATTTTCAGTATTATCTATGACAATTATAAAGAGAAAAAGCATATGAATCAAAATGTAAACAAATAATAAGTACTATTACAACACGTGTTATCTTTCACTCTTGCTACGGCTGATGCACAACGTGATACATTTTTGGTAGCACTCATGAAAATTGGGTCACACATGAATAAATGCATCTATAATATTAAAAATTATATGTATGTAAAAAGTCAGTAACAGTACTAAAATGTGTACATTGTAGAGAAAAAAAGTGGTTCTATTAAATACTGTAAATCACTACACTATTACTGTGCCACCTTCTGTGTGAATACATGTATGGCAATCTTACTAATAGTTTCCTTTTGCAAATATCAATTTAAATACACGAATAAATCAAGCATCTGTGAATATATATCTCAGTTATTATTTACCATTTTTATGTGTGTTGGGTGGTGTCTTGCAGGACTTAAGGTGTATCAGCTAAGATTTAGGCAGACTTTTTTTTTCCATGTTTGCTTGCAAGTATAGATCTAGTTCCATATAATAATTTCAATAAACTGAACATACTTTGAAAATTGTGAGTTTCATCTCAAGCTATATAAAACTATGACTACTGTACCATGCAATTTGGTACTTGTGTTCTGTTGCTGTTTCCGGGTGTTACAAGAACCTAGAAAACTGACTTTATGAGCTACAGAAGATGGTTACAGGTGTTTAAAACAGTCTTCAAAGACAGGAGCTCTTGATATTCTCCAACATACTCATAAAGATTTAAAAAAGGAAGAAATTCAAAGGCTATGATCAGTAGTTGATAAATTACAATAACATAACACATTTAATGAACCTTTACTGCAAATTTTGTACATTTTATGATCTTATTCTTTCACATAAAAAACAGTCTGAGAAAATACGTGAATGTTCAAAAAACAACATCGTAATCAATCAAAATTTGCTTGTACTACTGTTTTAAAAACAAAAATTCTATATCATCTTACATATGTATGTATATATAAGTTGACTTGATAAAAAGGACAACAGCATACAGATATTTATTAAAACGTTTACAATTAAGGTAATGTCAAACACTGTAACTGCTTTTGAGAAACTTTTAACACCTACAATATACTACAGATTTACTCAAGTTTTCATGCTAATTTATATATCTTCTTTCACAAACAAGTTAACTTTGTGTCACATCAGTATTGGCATACTGTAATTATTTATCTCATGCACATCTGTCACACTATTACCAATAATTAATTTTTAGTTTATGAAACAATAATGGTGTTTAAAATCAGTCGTCTATACAAAATTTTCTGTTTCAAAAAATGAAAAGCCATTAACTCATGATTCTGCGGTGACAAAAAGAAGTTAAAGTAATATTTTTAACGTTACTTCAGTTATTATAATCATGCAAATTAGAGTGATATTCTTTTCTTGCTTACATTTCAGCATTAACTAACACGTGATCAAATTCTACAATAATAACAATTAGCATCTGTTTCTATACTGCAAAATAAAAGGTGAAAAAATACCAGTAATTTGAACAACATAAACTGTATAAAGAAAGTAAAAGATGAGGGAAAAAAAACTAATTCTGAAGTAATAATTTCAACTGACAAAAGTACAAAGATGTGATTTTTCTTTATGCTCCATATTGTGAAATTTACTAAACATCAACTGATAATAACTTGAAACTACTTGCAGCAAAAATGTGAATTCTTAGAATCTTTGTGAAGTTTTAAAGCTCACATTTAATACATTCTTCACAGAATTATTGGCAGCTATAGCAGTTAAAACTGTGTGAAAGAAAAGTTATAAATATTCTACTAAACTTCTAACTAACCTATTGCACATTGATAAAAATACTTTTTAAGAAAAGGAGGAAAAAAAACAACCAATAACAAAATTTATTAACTTCACTATTAAACACAAAAATCCATTCTCATTAAGATCTTTTTTAAGTAAAATCTATTGTGGTGAAGATCTAAAATGCAACAATATATTTGTAAACAAGTAATAAATCATTGTCGTTCACATGTACATGGTTAAAAGGCTAGTATCTATACATAAGTATATATACAGTCTAAAAACTTGGTATAAAACCAATGTTGCTCAGAGAAAACAAAAAGTATAACAAGCAAGCAAACTGCCAATCAAACACACAAATAACAGTGATCTACACAATAACACACTGTACATCTTACAGACATTTAAAAACTGCCTTATTTCAGTCCTTATAGTCATACTTAAACTTTGAGTGGGCATTAAATGGAAGCCGTTGTCCATTAATAAGGCACTGAATAATCCATTCGCTAGATAACACTGGTATAGAAAGTTGTTGTGCTCGTTTTAACACGTCTTGAGGGCAGGATGGATCGGACAGAACAATGTCAACACTGTAAGGACCTGTAATATTTAAAAAAAAAAATTAAAACTTATTTTCATCTTTTTCTTTTGTAAAAAAAAAAAAAAATTTCATTCTCCTACACAAACACAATAATGAAGTTACTATAATTCAAAGATCAGATTTCAAAGTTTAAATCTTTTATTAGGTAATGAAAAGTGGTGACTAAGCTTTGGAGTTCAAACTGTATAGTTTTAAGCTGTAAAACTTTTTTTATGATGCAATAACAAAATATTGGTAGTTTCTGTAAAAAAATAATTTTTCTTTGAGGTAAACAGCAAGGAAAATCCAATCATTTCAGTTTGTCCTAGTTTCAAAGAAATACACTTTTAATGTTATGTATAAATATTATACAATACATTTTGTGTTTAGTTAAATTAACAAAACATAGCCAGTTACCTGATTTCATTACATCCAACAACTATGGTTTTTAAGAAAATTCAGGATAAATTACATATCTGATTATTCGAGACAGAGTACATCTACACATTTTTAGCAAAGGTATTAGGTTAAAAAGTGATCAGCAAATGCCCAAGCCAGCCAATCAGAGTCCAGATGACAAATGGAAGGAAGCTCACAGTATTGGCGGTATTCAACCCGTGTTACTCACACCCTAATCCACTATAGGCAACACAATGAATAAAAAGTCATGCTAATGTGAAATATCAGCCCAGCCACTCTACATTAATCAATGCTACCTTTGGCAGGCATTGTCAACACGTTCACCATCAAATCAATCACCGACGATTATCATGGAATTTCAGGACTGCAAAGAAGCTGAGAGGATCCACCTCTGACATTACTCATAACCCGCATTCTGTAGCTAGCACTTGCAATGATCATGTATACACACATTTAGTGGAATAGACTGCCACTCTTATGCAATACAGCTCCAATTTTAGTGAAATTTCAAAGTCTGCCTTTCAAGTGGCAATCCAGGATTCAGGTCAAGGTACTGGGCTGTCCATGACAGATTCTGAGCATCATTTGCTTTACACAGTGCATGGCATGGAGCATTATCATACTGATAAAGGTATGATCCTTTCCAGAAGAATTCTATCAATGCAGCCAGCACAAAATTGTCCAGAATAACACAATATGACAGTGCATTCTTCGTTTCCTTAATTAACTCTTACCAATAGACCACCTCCCAACCAGTTAAAACTGCCACCATTATAATACTTCCTCCACAACACTTCAGAATTATGTTGAAAGTGTTCTGCAGGTTTCCTTGAAACTGGGTTCACTTTGTCTAAAGTACACAAATGCAAGTGGTAGTTATTGCTCCATATACTGGTTTTCCATTTTCCTTCAACCTGGTTTTGATTCTTAAAATACCATGAAAGCAAAACTGTGTATTCAGAACTGTGGCTCCATCCACGAAATCAAAAGAATGGAGCTTTCTGCCCACTGTGAATGTGCTTACTTGCAGCCCAGGGTTGAAACATCTCATAAGCTTCCTTCCATTTGTCATCTGGACTCTGATTGGCTGGCTCTGGCATCTGCTGATCAATTTTTAACCTAATACTTTTGCTAAAAATGTGTATATATATATGATCTGTTTGTGTGAAATACTTAGATATGCAACTTACCACGAGTTTCTTTGAAACAGATGACCAGATCAGTTGGTGCAATAATCACAAAAATAAAGAACTGGATTGCACAGATTATTTATTGTTATTTTGAAAAATAGCATAATGGTAAAAAAACATAAATATTTGTTGGTGTAACAGAAACAGTAAGTAATAAAAAACTATTTACATTTATACCCCATGTTCATCTGTAAATGGCTAACAGAGATTCAACAAATGTAGTACAGAGATTTGATTACTGCGTAAATATTTATGTAACATTATAAATGGATCAAATCAACTGGCGATAGGTAAATTGAATTTAGGTTGTTGAAGAGAAACATTAGGAAACCAAAACTACTATGTTACACACAGTTGGCACTTTTAAACCTACAAACTTGAATCAATGAAGTATTTCAATTTATCAGTGCTCTAGAAATAGTCAGCTAAGACAGTCTACTCAAATAAAAAAAAAAAAAGTTTAAATGAAATTCAGAAAAGATAAATAAAATAAAGCCTTCCAAATTAAGTATGATTGCTAGAAATTAAGAAAACAGAATTATCAGTTATGACTATAATTTTGATGAAGATAAATCACTTACCTGAAATGTGTATTAATCATGAGAAACAAGTTACTAGTAAATTTGAATGTGAGAATTAACATTATAAATATATAAATGAATTATCTCACTATAAATGTAATATATGAAATTTAACTACAAAGTTCTGAGAGATGCAATATGCTCCAAGTAATTGATTTTACTTGATAATCATATTTGTGTTAATTTTATAAGAGTTAATATGCTGAGTGAGAGAGAATATATGCACTGAAATTAAAGATGCAATCATTTACCCGAACGCTGTGCTGTTCTTTTTTCCTCAACTCCACTCTCACCGGACTGTTCTGAAGAACAAAATTAATTTTTATTGATAAAAATGCAATTTAATACTTTCAAGTAAGTAATGTGCATTTTTGAATATGAGAAAGTATTACTAAAAAATTCTACTTAAGATGCATGAGTAAGTCTACAATTTAAATAATTCTATAAGACATTTATTATGAACCAAAAATAGAAAAAAAAATTATGTTTTTAAGAAATTATAGTGATTATTACAGAATCAATATTTTAGTTTTAGAATGCATATTCAAATTGAATTATGAATTCACTCTAATCTCCTTTGCAACCAATAAGGATAAACTTACAAAGTAATCATTACCTTGTCGAGGCAGCCGACGTACCATCTCTGCTCTAGCAGCCAAAAGCACAGGTGCCCATGTGCTAACGAAATCTTCATTCTTAGATACGATTAGGACATGAAGACCCTTCAACACAGTACTTTTGGAATGCCTTTACAAAAAATATTTAATTCATATACTTTTTTGATACAAAATTAAAAGTACTTTTTCATTCTATCAAAACCTATTTTGTAGAATAGTAATAATGGTTATATTCTTATAACATCACTTACAAACCACAATAATTTTTTTATGAGCTTAAGAAGAACAATATTAATAAAGTTACAATTCCTGTTGAGACACGATAATTTGAACGTTAGTTATAATTTTATCCACGACAAGAAACAATTGCTAAATTGCAACTTTTAACCACATAAAGTTTGTTTCAAATTCAGTAAAAATTCATCCTGATAAATTTTGCTTTAGATATAAATAAGTTAATGTCATATGAATTGGTACATTTGTTATATAACAAACAGCTAACCATTAATATGTTACAAGATCATTTTTATAATGTCACAAATTTTGAGTAACAAAGTTTATTAACAAAATTCAAACACAGCACACCCAGGGTTATTTTCTTAATTGCAAATGAAACAAAACTTATGTAATATATTTACATATTTTCTAAACATTTGTAACATTTGCCTTAATGTGTTCTCTCTATATATGTACACCTTGTATATAGAAAAAAATAAATAAGTAAAAATTATCTCTGAATTTCGGATATTCATTACTAATGAAACCTTTTATGTACAAGGAGCAGTTTCATGCTTACCTGATAGCAGTTCTTTGATCACAGATTTACTGTACTTTAAACTACCAAGATAACATTATTTTATGAATTGTTTTTAGTACTACGTATTGCCATAATGTCATTCGTAATTATTTTTCATCTCTTTGATAAACTTATAAGCAGTAACAGGGTTAAGAAAAAATAATGAAATATATTCTATGGTAAAAAATAGCACCTTTTAGATGGTAATTTACAATTTATATTATTAATTGAAATACACTAACATACTCTAAGAACACTGATGTTTTGAACCACATCTTAATTTAATTTTACCATAACAGTTTGGAACCATAACATAACATCATATATACATATAAACTATTCAAAAATGAAATTAGGACTAGGGAAGTACAGACAATGTCACCATGTGCATCAAGGAAGGATGAGTGTAGATAGTACTATCTATTGCAAAGGGAAAGGTATTTGGAGAATGAACCTGTCACCCCTCAGAGCCCCATCTCAGACAGCAGTGTTCATGTATTAAGGTTTTGTAAGGGTATTTTTTTCATTTGGTTATAGACACTTAAGAGTACCAGTAGTATCATTCTGTTGAGTTTTAATAATATCCAGGTTTTGAAAGCAGCACTAGTTCTGGCATCTCTTACTAGGTAAGTCCATTTGTTTGTCATTTTTGATTACAACATTCAGCTCAGTGTCTTTTGTACTAGAGGTGTTTGGTGGGTATCACGTGTTGTGAAATAGATTTAACCCACTTAGGTTTAATCTGAGTCACTGAGATACCCCATATGACCATCAGATTTGTTCAGTACTCTATGTACCTAGCCTATTGCACGAGCAGTCTAAGGAAGGCAGGCAACTTAACTGTTTTAATTACCTTAAGTACATAGTACTGTCTTTACATTTTCTAAACTTTGTGCAATCAAATACGAAATATCACAACCAAATAATGTTTCGTACACAAAGCATAAGTTTTCGCCTAGTTTACAATGAAAGTGTATACGAGATACACTTTGAATAAAAGTTAAATTTTACACTGGAACTTGTCAATGATCATGAAAATAAGAAAACTTCAAATAAGCATTTATATATGATAAATTTTCAGTAAAAATATACATTCTTAAAATGACCATTTCCTAAATAATGAAAATTATTTTATAAAAATGTTACTTACCACTCAATAAGGGAATTCGTTACAATACTATATCCTGCAGGATGCAAATAAGACTTGTATGGAAGAAGTTTATTCTGAAATATAAATTACAAAAGCAATGTAATGATCCTAGTGTTTACATGCTTTTAATGCTAAAATTTTATTAGAAAGAAAAACAACAACAAAATATGAACTGAAGTTTTATGAATGAATCTTACATATTGGTACGACAGCGGTAGTCACGTGATGCTGGTAACACATCATGATATTCTAGAAGGATCGGGGAACATCATGAATAATCCAGTATGTGTGAGGCACCCTCTATTCCTGTATATAAGTGCGCCAGATAACGTGAGACGAATCAATCAGAATTGAATTGCAGACAGGCAGAGATAAAGACGGACAATTGAGTCAAGCTCGGTAGTGACCGTAAGTAAGTGCGTGAATCATT